GATCCATCTAATGCGGATACGTGGTGAAGATAACGGTTAGCCCTAGACTTGAACAGGTTAATATTGTAGTGATAGAGGAAGAATCCTCTTGGGATATCTATCTATCTTTTTTTGTAATCATGTTGAATGTGCACAAGGAGCCAATTGAAGTAGAGGGCTTCTGAATAAGAGGCACATTTTAATTGGATATATGGGGAAGATGACGGTTAGGGTTGAACAGGTTAAGATTGTTGAGATCGAGGAAGAAATTGAAATTGCTAGATGTAATAGTAAGTTCTAATCTAATGGTTTCATTTCTCGTATTTCTTGTGGAAACTTTTGTCCGATTTTTTACTTTCCATCAAATTTGATCTTCAAAAATTTAAATGCAATGTCAATCTTTATCCCCTATCTTCTTAACTTCTGTTCTTTTATTGTTTTCGTTTTTTTTCTTATATTCTTTCATGCTCAGTAATTCTCTAAGTCTTAGTGGTTTTATTGCCTTTCTTAGGATGAAATGATTAAAAGAAAATGAAATAAAAACGCCTCTTATGCAGGAATCTATCCCGTATGAGTCGCTTGTATAAAAGTCGAGTTAAATTTAAAAAAAAAAAATTTCTTTTTCTTTTTCTTTTCGCTCGTGAAGGTGACAAAAAGACCTGTGTTGCTGCTGCTTCTGCTTTCCAGCCTTTTTCGAATGTTTATTCAAAATAAATAACAGGGAAACAATTGTAATATATATATATATATATATATATATATATATATATATATATATATAAAATCAGCTAAATATATCTAAGTATGACGTAGGATGTTTGCATTCGTACAAAAGATACAGAAACACATATATCTCCAAGCACACATTCCTGCAGTCACGCAGAGACACAAATGGGTGTGGTGTGTTTTTTCTTTTCACGTCTACCCTCGAGACGTAAATTTATCCACCTCCTTTTCTTTCTCAATTCACTAGGTCACTGGGCTTGTTTGAAATTAATTCAAGGACTCATGCTTGGAAGTGACACAATTTTTGAACTAAATGCAACATCAAGTTATCATAACCATTTTAGTTGAAAGCATCTTTCTCCTTTTTCTTTTTAGCTTAAATTTCTAAGCTTTTAATGTTGGTGTAAGATGCATATCGTCGCGTCACGTGGTTCATGAAAACGACGGAACCCATAAGCGGGCATGTAGAGCTTGAGAAAACAGCAAATTTATTTCAAAGTTTACATTTTAAAGTCCTGATGGACAATCAAAATATGATTTAAAAATCGATTAATTTCATTTCTGCCCTATATGTCTCTCATGTAGGAAAGGTTAATACATTTAGGAGAATAATATGGTTACATATTGAAAAGGATTTACATTGTTGTACACTCCCCAATATATGAAAAAACATGAAAAGTTTCGTTAGAAACAATGAATGTTGAACTGTTATGTAATATCAGTCCTCCTCATTCATGCAATGAATGATGGATAATCTCCCCACAGATGAAGAAGAGACTTGAAGTAACAGAAATGTTGTTCTACAGAAGGATGCTGAGAATCCTATGAACTGAACATGTGAATCATAAAGAAGTTTTAGGAAGAATCGGAACGAAAAGGACGCTTATACTTAAAATCAGAAAGAGGCAGTTTGAACTTGTCGGACATAATGAGTAAGAGGGCTTGGAGAATTTGACGCTCACAGGGCATAGTGAGTGACCTACTTAACAAGCTTGTGTAAATGGATAGCAGAGTAGGCATTGGAAGGGATGTTAGAAAGACAAAGGATAGGAAGTTGTGGAGAGCCATGATCATACATGTCCTGAAGGAATACTGCAAGAAGAAGAAGAAGAAGAAGAAGAAGAAGAAGAAGAAGAAGAAGAAGAAGAAATGCAAAATTTTATGCCCCCCACCCCAAAAAGACCCGTAAGCACCTAAAGAAATACCTGCACATTGGACGCGGCACTCACAAAAGGCAGTTTTGCGTTATTATGTCAGACCATAGTGAATGTTTGCGGCCGATTTCCATTGTTAATATAAAATGGCCGCAGCTTGACACTGGCGTTTGTTTTGCTGTCGATTTCTCGTTTGTTCCAGATTGAAAGCTTGCATCGTTCAATTGCGAATGTTGACGTTTTGTTCACAAATGAATGCCTTAGAGATGGTGGATGAAAAATTCTACTTTCGCCATATTCTACTCGATAAATTTCGGAAAGGAGTAAGTGTCGGAACTACGACAAAAACATTCACAAGGTTTATTTGGTTCGTTGGTTGATTTTCCTTAGCGGCATTTCAACCCCTTTATGGGTCATTTAATGCCAAAATCTAAATATTTTAAACGCATCTGTATGTCATCAACTACAGATAAAATGTTTTGTTGATCATTCTACTATAAAACGTATTGTTGGTCATTTTACTATAAATAAGTATTGTTGGTAACTTTATATAAAAAAATGTGTTGCTGGTATTTTGACTATAAAAATGTATTTTTAAGCTTTCATGGTATTTTGTTTTTCTTTGGGAGTTCACTATTTGTCCACAGGTGCTGCCACCCCGGGTTAGGGTGGACCGGGGAACAACAGCCATTAAGAAGTTATTTGCATCGTGCACCAGCTCTTTGCATTGTCAAATAATGATTTTAACCTAAACGATCAATCACACTCCTTACGAGGTAGATGAAAACACTCAGCTTGTCATTGAGGAGAATGAGCCAGAGATTTCGATATTTGCTAAAAGCTTGAAAATCGATACCTCATCTTACAAATTGGACTAAATGAAATACACGCTGGTGAGAGTATTAATGGACCACCGAATCATATTCTTAAATAGCCTCGTCAGATTGAGACTTTCTTATGGATGTTAGGCATGACGCCAAACTCGTTCAGAAATATGTAAACTGTTAGCTGTATAGAACTGAATTTTTAAAAAGCAATGCCTAAAAATGAAGACTGTAGGTCTTAACGAGGACCATCTTTCTTCCAACCTCGTGAGCAGGTGCAAGAGAATTACAAAATCATAGAAAAGGCAACATTTGACGACTTTCAGTAGCAGTAGGAACTAAAATGGATAGCTCATGTAACTTGAAGAGAAAATAATGACATAATCAATATGCTGACATTCCACATAACTTTAAACAAAAGGTTAGGAAGGAAACCCTCATCAATACTGGAAAGAGCGATAACAGTTACTAAAAATGAGAAAAAATGTTTTTTAATAGAAATATTTTATAAATTTCAAGCAACATTAACACTGGCTGCTCGGTCAATGAATGCCGAATGTTTCCTTATAAGGAAACAGCTAATATTACCATTATTATTATAGATGAGGAGAGCAGATGCTACATTTGGTATTTACTCGTCTCCACCACAATAACGTGACATGGCACAAGGCCGGTTTAGAGTGGGGATCCCAAGCGTGTGCACCATGGGATGAGGTCAAAATTTGCCCAGTCCTCCCAACCAACGTCGCGCTGGCATCGATATTCCACCGACCCCTAGTTAATTGGTGCAATGAGGGAGACTCTGACGCAGGGTTAGAATCTCCTTCACCAGGCATTCTTCATTTGTTTTGTTTCTGTCTTGAGGGATAAAAAGTGGTTTGTTCGCCCGAGCATAGATACAGCACTTAGTGTTAACTCCCAGTCTAGTAGGATGTGATACAAGGTCAGTTTAATATGGGGAGCCCAAGTGGCCTACCCGTGTCAAGTCCCAAAATAACCCAACCCCCTCAACGATCGTTTGCGCTGGCATCGGTATTACTACCGGTCTATCATGTTTAACGCAATGAGGGGGGCGCTGCCGCTAGACCGGACACCTCTCAAGAATATTTTCAGTTGCGCTCTGTAGGCAGACAGACACAGCTGAGATGCACTCTGTTCAAGAAAGACACAGCTGAGATTTGCTCTGTAGTCAGACACAGCTGAGATGCGCTCTGTAGTCAAACAGACACAGCTGAGATGCACTCTGTTCGCAGAGAGACACAGCTATGCACTCTGTAGGCAGACAGACTCAGCTGAGATGCGGTTTGTCTGCAGACAGACACAGCTGAGATTTGCTCTGTAGTCAGACAGACACAGCTGAGATGCGCTCTGTTCGCAGAGAGACACAGCTGATATGTGCTCTGTAGGCAGACAGACACAGCTGAGATTTGCTCTGTAGTCAGACAGACATAGCTGAGATGCGCTCTGTAGTCAGACAGACACAGCTGAGATGCGCTCTGTTCAAGAAAGACACAGCTGAGATTTGCTCTGTAGTCAGACAGGCACAGATGAGATGCGCTCTGTAGTCAGACAGACACAGCTGAGATGCGCTCTGTTCGTAGAGAGACACAGATAAGATGCGCTCTGTCAGCAGACAGACACAGATGAGATGCTCCCTGTCCACAGACAGTCACAGCTGAGATGCGCTCTGGAGGCAGACAGACACAGATGAGATGCGCTCTGTCAGCAGACAGACACACATTTGAGAGATCAAATCTCATCTATCCGCCAGGGGTCACATACTACACTTTGATCCCAGCCAGATGTCCCGGGAGGGAAAAAAGCGGAACTCAAGTAGCATTTGCTTCTCGGTTAATGAATATCAAATATTTGTTTCGAGGAAACGTTTGATATTAACGTTAACATTATCATACGGAGATATTCAATATTTCTCTGTGCTTACTTAATCCAGTGAAGTGAATTGGGATTTATATTTAAACTTGTTTATTATTTTCCATAGTTTCTTTTAATGACAATTTAATGAAATGATTCTCGTATTTAAATTCTTTTTGACAAAATCGGTGAATTGAAAGATGGCCATTAAACGTCGCAGTGGGAAACGCAGACGATTTAAAACTCGGGCCAAGTGTTCTGTAATAACAACTGAAAGAAAACCTTAATTATTACACGGAAAACAATCGTCTATGCTCAGTGAAGCTGCAATAAATACGAGCATGTGATATTTGTTTTAAAAACAAAACGAAACAATGACATTATTGTAGAACTGTCATTTATATGCTTTGTTGGTGATCGCCTATCTCCATCACTTTCTCCGGCTTACGACCACATCGCATCAAAACACCGGTTCCCGTACGATCTCCGAAGTTAAACAACGTCGAACCTGGTCAGTACATAGATGGGTGACCGCTTGGGAACACCACCTTGGATGTGCAGTTGGCGTAATGGATAATGTCCCGGAATTGTTAATCGGAGAGCCGAGTTCTAATTTCAGTCGAGTTTGTTATGTTCAATTACGTGCAACTATCGTTGGGGAAAATATAGATCCACCTCGTCTCCCCCCCCCCAGCTATAGGTTAGAAAGGACTAAACTTTAATTGCAATAAGACAGAATACGTAGTTGACAGTAAAAGAAATGGCCCAACATGCAAATTACAGATTAGAAATACCAAAATCAAACAAGTACAACAATTGAAATATCTGGGAAGGGTCTTAACAGAGTACAGAAAGTGCGACATTGAAATCCGAAGGTGTGAATGATGCCTTCCAAAAGCTAAAACAAAAAACAATGCGCATGCGCGAAATTAAAAATATAGAATGACGACACTGTATATATATTCTTTTCTGTACCTGATTTCGTTCTGAATTAGGTACAGAAAAGAAAGAACGAACAATAATATATTCATCATCAGATATTCTATATTAACCAAACAATGGATACCTGCAGATAGTCAGAAGGAACTTGACCGAAATGTTGTTCTTATAATGAAATCAGTAATAATCAAAATGGTTTGAATATAGTAAAGCGTATTGAGAATTTCTCATTTCAAAAACCTAAAAAAAAAAAATGATTTCAATTTTCTATGGTATTTTTTCGATTTTAGTCATTAATTAGTTTTAGTTGTTGTTTCACATCTGGAGATATGCAGATGACACCGGGACTCAAAAAGTAAAGGAAACTTCGACAGAAGATAGTGAAGAAAAGCGAAAAGAAAGGACGAAATATAAACTGCAAGAAGACAGAATACATGGCCGTTAGCAAAAGGAACAGCCCAACATGAAAATTACAAATTGGAGGTAGCAAAATGAAATAAGTACAAAAATATAAATATCTGAGAAGTGTTTGAACCAAGGACAGAAAGGGTTACATTGAAATCCGAAGGTGCATTCAGATAACCACGGATGCATTCCAAAAGCTAAGCAGATTGCTAAGAAAGTGAAAAATATGTTATGCAGTATTAAGAAACAGGAAAATGTTGTTAGAACAAAGAAAAGAGTCCTGAACTATTATGCAATATCAATTCTCCAATATGGTAGCGAATGCTGGATGATAGCGTCACAGATGAAGAAGAGACTTGAAGCAATGTGGTTCTACAGAAAGATACTGAGAATAGCATGGGCTGAATATGTTAGCAACGGTGAAGTTTTAGAGAAAATGGAATCAGAAAGGACATTTATAGGTAACATTAGAAAGAGACAGTCGAAATTTTTAGGGAACATAAGAAGGAAAACTTGAGTAAATGGATGGCGGAACAGGGTTTAGGAGAGATAGATAAAAAGGTGAAATGTACTAAGAGTTACAAAGGACAGGAACTTGTGAAGAGCCATGATCACCAACATCCTGAATGAACACGGCATAAAGAAAAACATTATGCATATAGAATTTAACTAGCTGACAAAGTCTAATATTTATTTTGAACCCGGGCAACACCAACTAATCTTACTGGTTAGGTTATATTTACACTATTTCCATTGTTCGCACTGTCCTCCTCATCTTAATTGTCATATTCGCGACATTTCGGCCGTTGTACGCACGTCTTCAGGTGATATACGTTGTCATTTTAAACCGAACCCATTATTTAGTCCACAGGTGTAGATTGTTCTAGTTCCACGTGCCATACCTTTTCTAGATATCTCAGTTTCAGTCATTTCCCTTTAGAAATTCAATTCCCCAAGTTTTTGTTCACCTCTGCTGTGGCCAGGGATTGAACTCACTGGATTACTTCAACCGACACTTTTATCCATTGGACAATGTGTCTTCAGGGGTATGAGATATCCAGAAAAGCATGGCACCTGGAACTAGAACAATATACCCCAGTAGAATAAATAAAGGGTTCAGTTCGAAATTCCAACTGAAGAAGGCTGGAGCGTACAACGGCCGAAACGTCGCGAATATGACAATAAAGATGAGGACAACAGTCCGAATAATGTAAATAGTGTAAATAGTTACAATACCTCATCTCAGAAGTAGAGACAGATAGTTTATATTTATTTTGAACTCGGGCAACGCCAACTAACCCTAATGGCTAGTTTATATCCGTTTTTTTTTCTTCGTATAACAACAGCATTGTCATGGCTAATATGTTTTAGCCTTCACATATGTCACTTCGTGAAACTGGAACATGACCAGTTAGAGTCACTCCATCACAAAACGCCATAACTGCTGCCTGTGTTTACACACGCACACACACACGAACGCGCGTGCGTAATGCAGTGGTTAGGAGTTTATCTTCTAGTCCAGTTCTCCAGTAAACTGTTTGATCTTTAGTAGATGCTCTGTTAACATGGCCTTGTGTCAGACTAAGATAAACTAGATGTTCAGGTATATGAATCTGTACCCACACGGTTACTTGCATACGCCTTCACACGCATACATTCATTAGCACTGGCACAACGATTCCCCAACTTGCATACACACGCAGAAATACATCTATTGTACAGGATGCGACAGAAATAACTCTTAGAAATAGCTCCCACATAATGGTAAGACGTTAATGGCAATGGTGTCTGCATCTAGCTAATGCCTTGCCATTATATGGGAGGTATTTCTGGGAGGTATATGTAGGAGATATTTCTGCCGCACCCTGTACAAATTATAACTGTGTAACCCGAATTCCAAACCAGTAACAATTCCCTTCATAAATTTCAAATTATTTCTATAGTAAATCGTTTACAATCCGTATTTATAATAACATTATTTGCATTGCATTTCTCTAATCAATGCATTTATAATATATACACGAGTTGCATTATGTTAATAACGCGATCGTATTCATTTCTGATCATTGGCAAAATATGCTTCCTGAATTTCGAGGCATTTCTGAAAAAATAATACTTTTCTTTTTTCTTTTTTTTTGGTATTACATGAATAAATTGTAAAAAAAAATCAGTGAAACTATTTTTGTGGAAATAACTTTTGTTGATTATCCTACTTAAGACGCAAAATTTGTCAGAATCGAAAATATTGATTTGTTATCGTTTTAGAAGGAAGGTCCTGTTTATAATATCGATACAGTATCAAGTTGATTCTTGACTTTTATTTTAGTTATTAGCCTTAGCGGTTATTTACAAATGTCAAGTTTAAAAAATGTGCTAATATCACTGATATTTGCATATTTTTGCAAAAAATTTTAACCACTTTTTTTTTTAACTTTTTAAAAATCATTTAAATATTTTTTGGGATGGAATATTTTCGGAAGCACATGAGCAAATATTTGAGGTTCATAAATCTTTATCGTAAACGAAGAATAAAAGGTGACAAATTCTTTAATTTATGTAGATTTTGTATCTTGTTTTAAAATGTATAGTATCTGTTTGTTCGTTATTTAAAAGAAATCCTTCTGTACCCCACCCTAAAAAAAGGTCTGCTTACGTACGCCAAACAGCTAAGGCCAATAACTCTGTAAAAGTCAGGGACCCATTTGACACTGTATCGATCTCTTCTAAATCGATAACAAAGCAATATTTTTCGATTCTAACAAGAATGTCGTGACCTAAGGAAGGTCAGGAGAATGCTAATTAAAAAAAGAAGTATTTCCCCAAAATATTTCCCTAATTTTTATGAGTGATCCAGTTTATTTAGTTATTGTTGCTTTTTGAATTTTCGAGGCGCCATATGCAAATTAAATGCAGGAAATAGCTAAAAGATTTTCAGTCAAAATTTCAATATTTCAAATCTGACAATGACGTTTTTCAATGACCACGAATCGAACACCACACAAACACAAACCAAGACTTTGAAGTGAATAGTTTTCGAAAGCCTTTTTGCAGGTGATATATAATTGTTAAATGAACAAGTCTTTCAATGAGGAGACATTATGTCAGATATTATCACGCAAGTTAATGTTTCCCAATTAAATTACTTCTAAAACTGAAGTCATGTGTCAAGTTTCGTGAATACAAGAAGTTCAAACGAGAGTAAAATTACATTATAATAACAGAAATGACGTAAAATAAAAAACAAACAAACAAATATGAAGCTTTTACTGAGGCAATTTTGTTTTTATGAAGTCAGTTATATTTGCTCGTAAAATTTCCAATTATAAAACAAAAGCAATCAGGAATATTTTTGAATTTGAACTTTTTGGTACTTGATGACATATTGATTGATTGTTCTGCCAATTTGTAAATGCATTTAAAGCCTTTAAGTCATAAATTTAAGAAAATCTGAAATCTAAACACAAAAATTGATTTAAATGGGAACTTATTATGAGACAGATATTTACAATCAATGAAATTAAATTAGAAACACAGAAGAATAGGTCCAATATAAATTACATCGAGTTAAATCAACTATTAAATGAGAATAACAATATTACTCACTAAATCACATGCCAATTCAAAATTATATTAATGCCCGAACTTAACTGACTGACTGATTGAAATGGCTGATTAACTTCGGAAACGAGTCGCTTTTATATATTTTAGATGTCCCTCTAGAATATTCTACAGAAAACAGGAACGCTCAAGAAAATTCTGGAATTCGATGATATTTTAGCTTAATTTACTAATATTAAAATGGGTTAAAAATGACAAAATCAAAAATATTTTTAGGGTGTTACATATAAAAGTATACATAATACAACAATACGCTAACAATAGGTAGAAATGCCTAGATAAAAACCTAGTTGGATAATGTGTAACTGCAAAAAGACTTATTTAGAAAAAAAAAAAAGCTTTCTATGAATATATGAATACGATGAAAGAGGAGGGCGTGTTGAGCAAAAAACCGAGTTAAAATTCGTGCTCAACACACCCAAGTTACATAGAAATTTACTCTCAAATATAATTGACTGAACAAAAAATTGAAATTTCTTTCCTAGTGTAATTGTTAAGTGAATAATTCTTTGAATGTGTAGACACTATGTCAGATCTTATCACGCAAGTTAATATTTTCCCAATTAAATGAATGTTAATCAACCGATGTTAGTATCATTTTCAGAATATTTTTATAGTGATTTACTAACTGTGGTATAGATGAGGTACAAGGCCACATGTATTGGTTACCTAGGAAGGTTCAAACTCACTACTCGATCGTAATTGATTTAGCTTGCATTACAATACGACGAAGTGAGCAATATATTTATTTTTTCAAATCATTTTATCCCAAGCAAGATAATAAAGCTGTTAAGTTGTAGTGTGGGGAGGTTACTGAGTATGAAAAAAAATAAAATAAAGAAAACATTATTAAGGAGAGAGCGGACAATAAAAGAAGAGGCATTAAGAAGACAGAAAATAACAATTGATATTGGATTTAAATATTTTAAAGATCAAAGTTGACTGGGAAGCAAGAAGCTAGAAGAGAGTTCCACAAGCGAGAAGTGCGAAAAAAGAAACTGCAAGGAACTTAGGGTTACATCTGGCCATTTCAATTGTAAAATGATGAGACCTTGCTGCCAATCTAGTACTGAACTTCAATTTATAAAGTCTAGATACCATCGAGGAAAGTTTATCAGAATAGTTACCATCAACGTATTTATAAAAAAAGGCATTATGGTGATGGGAAAAATGGCTGAAGCTGAGATGCCAGGTAAGGACCAATGATATTTTAGATTCTTCTTTGGATATTATTGGTCTGAGTAAATTATCCTAGAGGTTTAGGTTATAATATATAGTAATAAGTAGTGGTAATAATTTGAGTTAGTTGAGTTTGTTTTGCGGTATATCGACACGTCTGTGGGTTATTTAATGCCGAAATGTAAATATTTTTAACGCAATTTTATGTTTTCGACTACAGATATTTTGTACATAATTTTATACCTTCAGAGTAAAGGTATGTTATTTTAGATATATATTTTGTTGATCATGAAATGCATTATTATTAATTTTACTATAAAATTGTATTTTTATATTTCAGTGTTGCATTGATTGTCACCTTATTACAAAAATGTATTGTTAGTCAATTTATTATAATATTGTATTCTTGAATTTTGATTGGGGTTTACAATTTTATGGCTTCAACAAAATATATTATGAACGCAATTTCCACCCTTCAGCTACGGATAAAATGTATTGTTGGTCATTTTGCTTTAAAAATGTATTATTTGTAATTTTAATATAAAAATGTATTGTTGGTATTTTTGCTATAAAAATGTAATTTCCTACTTTCATAGTATTTTATTTTTGTTTGGAGGTTCTCTATTTGTCCATAGACAGTACCATCAAAAGTGCTAAATCCCGGGTCAGGGTGGACCTGGGACAACAGAAATTAAAAAGTGGTTCTACGCTCCTCAAAACCTTCAATCTCCCGATCAGAGGCCTTGTTGCCGGATGTAAGTTAAAATTGTTTTGTGTCAGCCCCACTATCTTTTCAAATGAGTAATGACGAGAGATAAAAGATTATTGAGGCCTTCAGTTCATACCCTGGCTTCAAAGTCAATTCAAGAACCATCAAGAGAACGGTGAAAGAAGGAACAGTAGAGAGGGAAACTGAATCAAGAAGTCACAACAGGAAGAGGGATCATCATTTCAATCATAGTGCTAAAGAGATCAATTAGAAAAGATCCTATTCAATCCATAATACGTTTGGCACGTGAGAGAGAAGTTTCAGCTATGACAGTCCAAAGCACTTGAAAATGAAATAGTACGTGAAACGTGTGAGGCATCTTTTTTTTACATCAAGACAGGTTAGAAGATTCGAGGGCAAAGAACATCTTGAATAAGTTGGAAAATGATCCTGGAATAATATATATATATATATATATATATATATATATTTATGAACTTAATCCCAATCCTCCATGAGCTTTCGATTAATTAATGATGCACATGTCATTTTCGTTTCTGATCGATTTCATCACGATTCTTCTGTTAAGCTTGGAGAGTAATTACACATTCTTATTGCTTAAAGTGGAGTCCAATAGTGTTAGAAAAACCTCAGAGAATTCTAGTAAGATATTTTAATATTTCTAAGATACAACGTTTCAAATCTTAATCAACATCTAACAAATAGACAATTTTGCTGTTACACTATTTGGACAATTTTGCTGTAACACTCAGTATATATATATATATATATATATATATATATATATATATATATATATATATATATATATATAAGCAAATATATGGATATAGATCCGAAAGTATGAAGAAAAATATACGGAAAAAACAAACAAAAATCCTAATATGCAATTATGCTGTTTTAATGTTTGGATTGGTCTTGCTTTTATGTCCCAGGTCGTTTTTCATGTTGAATTGAATATGGGCTATGTTAATTATGTTTTATGAATATGTCCTGAAGATGGTCTATTAGACCGAAACGTCCGACGTTGACATTATAGTAACATTAAAACAGCATAATTGCATATTAGGATTTTTGTTTGTTTTTTTCCGTATATTTTTCTTCATATATATATATATATATATATATATATATATATATATATATATATATATATATATATATAGATAGATAGATCGATAGATAGATACACCTAGTGAGCCAGACAAACCTACCTAGGTTTCACCTAAACGGATCGTCAGGAAAGTTTGCCAAACTTTCCTGACGATCCGTTTAGGTGAAACCTAGGTAGGTTTGTCTGGCTCACTAGGTGTATCTAGGTCTGCTCTACGGTTGTATTGACTCTTTTGTTAGTTAGTTGTTTACTCGTATCGGGGTTTTTTCTTTGGGCTTCAGACCTGCATCTGTGCGATTTTTTTGTCGGCAGAAGTTCATGTTTGTAGCTCTTTCTTTTTTAAAACCTTTTTCCCTCGAAATCGATTTGATTAGCAAATCAAAAAATTCGAGGGTTTTTCGAAACGAGTCTAGTTATCTATATATATATATATATATATATATATATATATATATATATATATATAAAAGTGAAAATTGAAGTCAACACTCAGAGGCGACAGGCTGTTTCATGCTAGACACAATCGTGGGCCTGACGACTGCGTCTAGTATGAAACAGCCTGTCGCCTCTGAGTGTTGACTTCAATGTTCACTTTTGTATTTATATTTACTTACGCTCTATCTCTGATATTGAGCACTTTATCCAATGAATATAGCACACCTTAAAACTATACAACACACAAACACACACACACACACACACACACACACACACACACACACACACACACATATATATATATATATATATATATATATATATATATATATATATATATATAAAAAAGCTCAAACACTAATATTCGATGGTTATAATTTATTACATTGGAATCGTAATCACGATCCAATTCATCAGAGTTACAAATTAAAAAAGAAATCGGAAAATATAACTCCGGGTATACTTTAATTTCATATTTTCCGATTTCTTTTGGAATTTGTAGGTCAGATGAATTGGATCTTGATTACGATTCCAATGTAATAAATTATAACCATGGAATATTAGCGTGTGAGACTTTTTTTTTTTATTATATTATTACTCTATCTTGGATATTGAGTTCTACCTGGATTCTATCCTCTTGAAATTTATATATATATTATATATATATATATATATATATATATATATATATATATATATATATATATATATATATATGTGTGTGTGTGTGTGTGTGTGTGTATATATGTATGCATATTGACCACTAATATTATCAATATATATATATATATGAAATAAATTATTTGACTATTTGAAATCTTTCAATTGGTTAACATTTTAAATCTCCCATCAATCTTTCACGATTAATTTTATCTTTTCTAATGTTTCGACTTTAACATTATTTTCGCTAGATTTTTTTTTTTGCTTCCAGTCATCTTCGATTGAATACTGTTTTCCATTCTTATATAAATTTATTTTTTAATGATAAAGAATCCGTTTTCTGTTGGTTTAATATCTGTAGAAACTAGGAGGCATTCCATTAATTTGGTTTTATAGAAATCTTTTTGGCAAGATGGGCAACAGACAACTTTGCAGAATGTGAAAGAACATTATCTTGCATAAATATACTTTTTATCTTTTTCGTTGTGACCTGCGCCATTCTAAAAATGATCTTTACATTTGACACTACAGTCTATAGTTTTATTGACTACAGTTCTCTTCCCCAAATATTCTTCCATTTTAAGTGTATTGTTTCTAGATCTTATTGGTTAACTGTTTCCATAAATTTATAATCCATAATCTATAATCCATAATCTAGCCAAGTCATCAGCTTCATCCGTTGAGAAATCAGATATCATGAACTTCTTCGTCCAATTGCATAAAGGTGATTATTTGGTTATTTTCATGTTTTCGCTCAATATTTTTCATATTCTGCATCTTTTCTCTGTTTACCTCCACAACATCAGCTGCCTTAAATATTGTTCTGCTATTCAATCCACTTTTCTTGCTTATTACTCTAATTATTCTCAAATCTCTTTTTGTGGCCTTCTTAAAGACAATTGTTGTTCTAGTCTTTATTTTGCCAATCTGTGCAGTTTTTTTTATTCATATGTGTTTCCTGTTCACAATTTCCGACCTTGTATTCCTGCACTCAATAATAACCTTACAATAGTTTATTTAATTATTTACATTTTATATTTATATCCGCGTAACCTTCTGGAAATTTCGAACTGAACCCTCTATTCAATCTATAGAGGTAGATTGTTCCCTTTTTGCTGTACATGTCTAAGGATATCTTGTTTTGTTCTTATTTAGTACTGTTCAGATATTGCTCACCTTGTTTGCACAGAGTCTGCCTCTGTACTATCCGGCCCAGGGATTGAACTCACAACTACTATGACACCAAATCCATTGACCAACTTTTTAATCCTTTCGGTTATTGTATGGTATAGATATATTTGAACTCTATCTATCTATCTATCTATCTATCTATCTATCTATCTATCTATCTATCTATCTTTGTTTTTGAGGATTTCACTCTATTTTACACTTGTCTTCTCGGTACCATCCACACAGACAGAAAAATTGAAGCAAATAGGCCGGACATTATTGTCAAAAACCAGAAAGAAAAAACTTGCCTACTAATTGATATGGCTTGTCCAGCGGATTGTAACATAGCAACCAATGAATTTGAAAAACTATCAAAATACAAAGACCTGGAAATTGAAATAGAAAAAATGTGGAAATTGAAAACAAGAATAATACCAGTGGTAATAGGTGCACTTGGAATTATAAAAAATGGAACAAAACAACACATTGAAAGAATCCCTGAAACCCCAGCTTAAGAGACATACAGAAAATTGTCTTATTAAGTACAGCACACACACTAAGGAGAACTTTGTCTATGTAACGCTAGCAACTTCATCGAGAAAAAAAAAAAAAAAAAAAAATTAACATGAAATGTAATATAACAACACACCACGACCTGCCTTAGGTCTTTCCGCAGACTTGGTAGGTAGTGTGTCCATAGCAGAAATCGAATGATGATGATGATAATAATAATAATAATAGTCTACATTATGATTGCGCAACTCTTCGAAAATGGCTGCTCAATTTGTCTAGTCTTGTACCAAGACTGAATTAACTTTATAAAAATAACGATATACACTAATTGTCACGGCGCCATTTTTTCTATCACTATCACTTCAAATCCGTTCACAGACGCGCGCGCGCGCGCTCACACATTGATAAAAAAAAACGAGAGAAAAACACAGATAAAGATAAGATAACAATAAAAAAGTTTTTGCTTTGCTAAAGAATGTCAGTCATAGTGAAGATCGAGAAATGGAAAGAGTGGGGAGGAGGTCTGTCCGTTAAGTCATGTCACGTGGACGTGACAAGACACTTATTCATGGACAAAAAATACCGCGAAACGTGCAGTGGCACCCACCCACAAACCCTCACCTGACCTAACTGCTCCCCCTTTTATCCCCGACTACCACCGCCAATTAATCTTCACCTGACCAAACCCCTTACCTTTGCCGATCAAATTCCCTTCATTGCCCGGATGTACATAGTGGTGTCACTCGCACCTGTTGTTACCCTCTTAATGGATTATTTGTTGAAGTGAAGCATATTTGCTTAACTTGTTTCTACTTCCAAAGCGGGCCTCGTAAGAAAAGCAACCGTGCACAAATACTCGCCTGTAAATGTTAAAGAAGAAGAAGAAAAGCTACTCCGAGAAACATACCTGAACATTATCGCAATGACAACAACAGAAGAAAATCTTACGAATAAAGGAATATATTGTAGTGATGGTTTTTTATATATATATATATATATATATATATATATATATATATATATATATATATATATATATATATTGATAATATTAGTGGTAAATATACATACATATGCAAAATATATAAATATATATACATACATGCTTACACATACATATATATTTTGTATAAAAAAATCTAAGAAATATATATATATATATATATATATATATATATATATATATATATATATATATATATATATATATATATACAAAGGAAATTAAGTTTAGGAGGAGGAGTAGGATGAGGAGGGATAGGTAACGATTAACCCATGATTTGAAGAATCTATCGTAAAAATGTAGGTGTTCCTGAGAAAAAAGCTTCACGGAACTGTTCTCTTACGTTTGGAATACGGGGAAAACGAGGTTGATTCAACTCCGAAGAGGTAGCAGGATGTATCATAGCAGTATATTGAATTACTGGAACTAAAGAATGCAGCTCACCTGAATATTTACCATGGAAATAACAAGTAGCAAGAGCCTTACGATGTCTCGCATGTATGGGGAAGAGGTTACTGAGGGTAAAATAAGCATTTCCCTACAACACTTCGTAAACGATTTTGAACTCTGTCAAGGCTGGAAGGTTAGGAATCAGTAACTTTAACCACGATATGGCAACAAGATAGACTCATGAATGATAGAATGATCCGACCATTTTCCAACCATCTTTAGCAATGCTACAGTCGTGTGTATTCAGTGCACTTGGTAGGCATATCTTTCCTGGTGAAACAATGTGACATGACAGAGAAGAAAAATTTTGAGAAAGTAGCTGCTAGTTCAAATCAGAGGGAAAGGCGCAAGAAGTTATAAAAAGTAAAGAATTAACACAACTTGACCCCCCAACCCATGTTCGTTTAACGCTAACTGCAAAGTGCTGGAGAGTAGACCGGTCAAAACCTGTGTTTGGAATGCTCGTCATTGAATAAACATTCTGTTTTTTTTTTGTCAAAAATTCAGAAAGGCACGAAAGGATATTTTTTAGCGTTCCTATTCTTTTTTTTTACTTAAATATTAAGTTCAGCTTAGTCTGGCACAAGGCAATAATTACAGAGCATCAAATAAAGGTAAGGATTGTATTTCATAACTTGCCAACTCACATTTTTACTGTAAAGTGTTTACTCTCTTTGAATTAAGTTCTTTGAAAAGGAGGAGATTATGTTGAAAAATAAATATTTTCTTAATTATTTGCTTCTTTTTTATTTAATTCCTTTCTTTATCTTTCGTTTTTTCTTAATTTATTTGTTTCTTTTTTTCTCTCATTCCCTATTTTCCTTTTTCCATATGTACTTTCTTTCTTTCTTTCTTTGTTTCTTTCTTTCTTTCTTTCTTTCTTTCTTTCTTTCTTTCCATATTTGCTTTTTCATTATGTAATTTCTTTCTTCCTTTTTACCCACTTTGTTTCTTTCTTTTGTCCTATTATCTTTCTTTTTCTTTCTTTCTTTTTTCTTTCTTTCTTTCTTTTTTGTCCTATTTTCTTTCTTTTTCTTTCTTTCACACCCTATTTTCTTTCTCTCATTCCATTTTTGTTTTTTCCTTATGTAATTCTTTCTTTTTTCCTTTCTTTTCCCACTTTCTTTTTGATATTTATTTCTTTCTTTCGTTCTTTTTCTTCTTCTTCCGTTCTTTCTTTTTTCTTTCTTTCGTTTTCTTTTTTCTTCCTTATTTTCTTTCTTTCTCAATGTCATTCATATCCTTCACTTTGTCTTCGTGACTTGACAGAACAGTTCACTGATTAAAGAGCCGAATTCAACCGACTACACCGCCGCCCAACCGCGCCCTACCGCCGACTCTCATTCAAATCTCGCCGCCATCATTACCTCTTGCCGTCTGCCTTCGTTGTTCGTTCCCTTAACATTTGGAGCTGAAATTTAAGCGACATTTGCCTGGTTCTAAAAATAGAAAGTCTATTTTTAACTCTCGTTTGGGGAGACGAAACGATGAACTTTAAAAGTTATAAAAACGTCACTCGAATCAGGTAAGAAGCGTAATTACAACAAACCAATGAAGATGAAGATAATTTGACTTTTGCAAATGTCGACCAATCGATGACTAGCACGTTCGAATGCGTCTTTCCGCTATCAATAGGCTCGTGGAACGCATCATTTATCATCAGCTGCTGCTTCACAAATTAATTTTAAGTAATGCACTTCGTCAACCCACGTTAAAATTTTTATTACCGCTTCAATTATGGAACGGTAGCCGTAAGTTCAATACTAATAGTTCTTTATTTTAGTCTATGAGTCCCTTCCTGTTTCTTGCTTGTCTGCAACCTACAATCTTCAATCGTCATTTTTTGACTTCCTAAGAATAAGCTTCCAATTTGTTTCTGTCTTCTTGAATTCTTTATTGCCCTTTCTTCTCACTAAAGTCTTCTCGTTCTTTTTCACTGCCAGTGGGTCTTAGTGGCATTATCACCTTGTTTGGGTGAATTATATATATATATATATATATATATATATATATATATATATATATATATATATATATATATGAATTACATAAAAATGCAACTTGTAAATTTTTTTATGGTCAATTCGCTTCTCGGGATAAATTCCTGGAGCTTGTAAATACTAAAACATTTAATAAAAAAAAATGAACCGTAACGTGTTTTTTTTCTTTTTTTAAATTCAAAATTACAAAAGGATAGCTATAAAGAAGAAAAATAGAGAGGAAAAAAGAAGAACAAACAGCAAATAAGGGAAAAGGTATTTAAGAGGGAGATAGAGAGAAAAAAATGGAAAAGAAACACCCAAATAGAGAGGAGGAAACAGGAAGATATATATATATATATATATATATATATATATACAAGACTAGACAGAAGGTAAAAACGTTTGATGATTAACAATGACCTAAATTTAAAATGTTATCTCTTGTTCAAATAGGAAAAAATTAAAAGTAGAAAAAATTACATAAGAAAATACAATCATTAAAGTTAAGAAAAGAGAAAGTTTGTGGAATGAACGGGGTATTCGACTGGATACAAAAATTCGGGTTTTCAGAACTGTTGTACTTGCCATCCTTTTGTTTGGCTTAGAGTCGTGGACTCCATACAGGTACCATATACGCCAGCTGAATGTTTTCCATAAAAGCTGTCTGCGTGCAATCTGTGGAGTTAACCATCGAGATAGGACATCTAATGTAGACCTGTTTAACAGGTGTAATATTGGAGGAATCGAGACTTTTCTCATGCAGTCTCAGTTACGGTGGACTGGTCATGTCTTGATGACAGAATGCCCAAGATGACAGGATACCCAAAATCCTAATGTACAACCAGTTAGATCAGGACTACAGGAATGTAGGACGCCCATGGCTAAGATACAAAGACAAGCTGAAGAGCAACTTGTCAGCTGTCAATATACCACATAACACCCTTGAGCGCTTAGCCTTGGAGCGGGTAGAATGGAGATCAACGTGTTTTAGTGGACTCATCAATTTTCAATCTGCTTGTTTGAATCATCTTCAAGAAGCGAGAGCAAGAACTAAAAGGTCAGCCAATCTAACAGTGATCTCATCTCACAATTCTCACTCTTGCTCCATATGTGGTCTCCTTTGTTAATCAGTAGCGGGTCTTAAATGCCACTTAAGATTGTCGCACAAAATTTCATGACTCAATCAACTAAACTGTCAGATCGTCTTACGTCGAAACAGACGGAGAGTCCATTATATATATATATATATATATATATATATATATATATATATATATATATATATATATATATATGAATTTCACTGCCCAGTATAAGATTGTGTTTCTTGTCACAAATGAATTACTTATATCGGACATACTAAGACCTGCTTGAGTAGACGCCTCACGTGTCACTTATCAGATCAAAGTCCTATAAAAACAGTTATCGACCCACGAGAACCACCAAGAAAAATTATGGTCAAAAACACTATTATCCGAAACATCTCGGTTTAAGAGAAACCCTGTATATTAAACATCTCTATCCTACTATCAACCTCGCCTTATTTAACAGTGGAAATGGAGTATTAAATGTTTTTAAAAACAGAAAGATGCTCACGCGAATCCCAGGCACGCTCAATAACCGAAGGCTCGGAATAAACGCTTCTATTCAAAACAACACAAAAATAAAATACAATTTAAACAGTGAAAACATGAGGAAAAATTAACAGCACCAAAACAAAGCCACCTTTGAAAATGGCCTAAAGCGCTGGGAACAATGAATTTCTGTGCTCCCTTCCTTGTAGAAAATAGAAAAAGTAAATAGAAAAACTAAATACAAAATTAATTAAATCTTTCTTGTCCACCGTATTTAATGAAAGATGTTTAAAAGAATGATTGCTGCCCAAAAATACATTATTAGATAGATAGATAGATAGATAGATAGATAGATAGATATAAAAGTGAACATAGAAGTCATATATGAGATATGACAGCAAAACTATATTTTTAGTCTAAACTGGTAAAGATGAAGCAGAGTCAAGAAGTCGGGTACTTTTCTGGGTGCATCTCTAACGAAGGTCCACTTGGGGATCTGGGGTGTTCTTGAGTCCAAATAGATGTTCCAGTCAAAGAGGCTCATTAAGAGTACAAGTGTTCATATGACAGGCTTCTGTTCTGCGATGATGCAACGTTAATAGCTTGGCTTTGGCACTATTGTATGCAACAAGCCAGCAGCTCCTTCAACGCTGAGCTGCTTGAGCTAAGGACAGAGGTTAGATCAACTCCAGGCTTTGGTCATCTATATCTTTGCAGGCGCGCGCGCGCACACACACACACACATATATATATATATATATATATATATATATATATATATATATATATATATATATATATATATAAATAAACTATAAAATCCAGAATCACTTCATATGGAGATTAGCCTATTTCGGTAGACGAAGATATGGGTCGTCTGTCATATCAACCTCGGTGTGGACTGAGTTTGTGTCAGAAATAGAAATTTAACTGTGAAAGCCAAAAAGCAGTGTATCTGTGTGGATCATTCCGTCGTTTTCGATGTATGAAGGTGGCGTAACTCATTTCTTAGAAGCAAACAGCTAGTATTACTCACATATACGATTTGATTAGAGTGGCGATGGCTGGTGTAGAACCAACCACACGCTTTGTTTGACCTGAATACAGATAACTGGAACGCAGTCTGTCACAAGGTCTCCAAAATAACCCTCCTAATAATTTGAAATTAGAGTTGTCCTAATCAGAAACAGGTGGCCACCCAAGGCTATAGGACCCAGTTTGACATGTTATTTATTTATAGATAGATAGATAGATAGATAGTGGATAGATAGATAGATGCAGGTAGGAAAGCAAGCAGGCAACGCACGGTGTAGTAATGAATAGCTACACGGATTGAGGACTACAAGAGTATTGGCACGTAAGTGAATGTAACAAACTCGACTGGAATTCGAACTCGGCTCTCCGATTACTCTATCTATCTATCTATCTATCTATCTATCTATCTATCTATCTATCTATCTAAATCAGTTTGCGGGAAGGGACATCTCAACACTGTCGACTCACCACCGGCCAACCGGTGTTGGCTGTCATTGTGCGGCTTTGAGTCGTAGAGATTTTGAAAGTTTGGGTGTTTGTCTTATTGATTTATTAATTAAAACAGCTTATTTGGCTGACTGGTGACTTTTCATGATACCGAAGCTGGAAATTCTTAGTCAAAGAAGAAAAGAAAAAAAAATGCACACGTAGGGGATTTATTTGTATTTGATAAGTTTAGTAACAGGGAGAGAAACATACAATTTTAGCGTTGTGACCAAGGCTCTAGGTGGCATTGCAAGGATTCATAAGACGTCGGCCGAAGTTATCAAGATTGTAAACAAGGGTTCTCACAATTCGTCACCGGCCAATGTTTGCTAAATGCACACAGTCTTGAAATGTGTCAAAGACATCTTTGATAAGCCAAGTGCAGTAATAAGTGAAGTATTATTAACAAATGGATCTTACGATTGTTACCAGTTTCTTCAGCCACGAGGAAAACGAATAGACACAAAAAGAAATTAAGATCTTTTCTGTTAAATCATCCCAAATAATGTAAAACATTAATGTATCTGACCTGAACACATATATTGAGGTCAGATGGACAAGTCTCGTCTTGGGAGGGAGACAAACCCGAACCCGTTATTATGGGGTCTACGGGGGAATTTTGCCAGATCCTATGGGATCAATCAAGACCCCCGTAAAACCGGCCTTGTGCCACATCCAGCTCTGTGGGGAGCTCATGTAGATACCGAGTTTATAAAAGCTCGACGGAGTCAGACATTTTGCTGACTCGTTCTGGCGGTAGATTTGGCGCGCTATTGTCAAACTCTCTTTCAAGTGACGGAGACACGGCTGAGAAAAACAGACATGAATTGTACCCGATCCCGCGAATGTGGTGGTGAGGGGGCTGGGTAAATTTTGACCAATGGCTCGAGTGGAAACGCTTGGGTATCCACAGAAATCTCGACTTTGTATCACATATCTCAATGGAGGAGGAACTTGGAAAATACCGATTTTATTAAAGCTTAGGGTAACTCTCGTTTGTGGCCGATTGAAGTCTCGTCTCGCACGTGACGTTTTACTGACCTACGCGAACGTAGACCCCACACTTAGAAATAGCGCATCCGAGTCGCCCATATTTGGGGCGATCGCAAAGGTCAACCCAACCGAAGTGTAATGGAAGGGCCTCGCTCTAAATCTGTCCGTATCTGTCTACCTATCTTATTTTTCTAATACCAATTTATCTTCATTTATAGCACTTAACACTAAGATTAATCAAGGATTCTTTTTATAGCAATTCTTTCAGCGCATTTCTTTCGCGTTGCTTCCGTTTGCGTTTTCTGCGATAAATGCAGAAATTGTTTCATGCTCTCTTAAATAACAGAAGTTAACCGGATCACCATTCTGTAATTTCAATACTTAAGCCGTTGTCAGATCTTCCGAGAATTTGATACCACGATTTTTTTGTTCTTTGTTGTTACATCTTCGTCTTTTAATTTAGACATTGTTTCAATCTTTGTTTAATCTGATTTCTATCGACCCGAATGTGTTTTTACACGCGTCTCCGCGTCGACTTGCATGTTGAGTAGGAGAGACAAGTTGGAGATATTCTCAAAGCTAAACTTAATCTGACACAAGGCTAGATTTCCAGAGCTTTGAATAATGATTAAAATCAATCATACTAGTTTTTAGTCGTGCTTGGAAGATGTTCTATCTATCTCATTCTGTTACTATCGATCTCATTCTGTTACTATCTATCTATCTATCTATCTATCTATCTATCTATCTATCTATCTATCTCATTCTGTTACTATCGATCTCATTCTGTTACTATCTATCTATCTGAATGCGCAGGTGGGAAAATGTATAGCTTCGTAGCCAAGTTCGAATTCCAATCGGGTTCATTATATTCACTTACGTGATACTACCCTTGAGAAAGATATGAATTTATCTCATCCCCCAAACTATGAGTTAAATAGGCGGGTCTGTATCTGCACAAATCATTGTTATTCTAAAAAAAAAAAAATGTTAATGTTTTATTTAACCGCAAAATAGAGGCACTGTGGTATAAGGGATGGCGGCTCGGATTGAGGAATCGGATAGCCGAGTTCGAATTCTAGTCAAATCGATTACATTCACTTACGTATGAATCTCCCGGCAATTATAGGTAAATAGCAGGATAGACCGGATTCTATAGCTTTGGATGTTCTACCTCAGAAAGAAATCGCAACCTGCTGCGGGAAAAAATCTGCCTCATCAGTCATGTATCGAAAGATACATGATCGCCCAAGCGTGTATCACGTATGGCACATAACTGATTGACTGACTCGCAAAAATTTGCTGCTTTTTTTTGTTTGGGCTTTAAGTGACGCACTAAATTGTTGTTAAAACAAATCAATATCTATCTATCTATCTATCTATCTATCTATATATATATATATATATATATATATATATATATATATATATATATACACATTACACTGAGAAATGTTCAGTTTATTTGTCAAAAGCGGAACATTATTAACATTGACAAGATTCCCCGATGGAATTAATTCTTTTATTCCTAATCGAAAGAATCTGGAATTAGAAATGAAAAGAATTCTAATAGTGATAAATTGGTTTGTTTCCATCATTTCAAGTTTCTGTCACGGTGGAATTTCGGTGAGATGTGATTTAATAGAAATCTTAAGAGAGGAAAAGAAGAGAAGGAGAACTGGGACATTCTTTTCACATCATTACTTACATATATTTCTCCTTTTAAATAATTCTTTCTTTCTTTCTTTCCTTCTTTTCTTTCTTTCTTTCTCTCGCCAGTCTACTTTTCACCTTTTTTTCGTCTTGTTATTTCTTCTTTTGTTTCATCATATTATTTCTTTCATTGTTACTTTTTCCATCCTGTCGTTTTTTTTAATTTAATTAACCTCTTAATTACTCGTTCTTTCTTTCGTTCTTTTATTTATTTAGCTTTTAAAACCCACTTTTCTTTTATTTACTGTTTCAATTTTTCTTCTTTCTTTCAATCAATTTTATTTTGCCGTTTCATTTTTTCTTTTCTTTTCTTAATTTTTTTGTTTTTCTTTATTGATTTCTTGCTTTTATTTATTTAGCCTTTCGAGCAGACCTTTTCGATTATCTTTCTTAATTCTGTTCTTTCTTTCTTTCTTTCTTTTTTTTTTTTTCTCTTTTTTATCTTTCTTTTATTCTCTCATTCTTGTTCTTTCTTAATTTCTTTCTTTTATTTTCTTTCTTTATTTCGTAATTTCTTTGTTTGATTTTTTTAAATTTCTTTCTTTTTTTCTTTTTCGTTTTGTTTCTTTCTTAATTTCTTTGTTTTTCGTTTCTTTCTTTTTTCTTTTACTTTCATTTAATTACTTTTCTTTTTTTCTTTCATTTAAATGAAAGAAAAATCCTCTTTCCTTCACCTTGTTCTTTCTTTCTTTCTTTCTTTTGTTTATTAATGGATTTCTTCTTTCCTTTTTGCCAAACAATAAACCTTACTTTTATTTGGTCGCTCGTTTTCCTCGCCGTATCATTCCGTGACACGTGACTTTAGATTCCATCCGGGCACATCAGAAAATATTGAATAATCAATTCTTGTTCACTGACCAATGCTTCCAGTTCCTGCACTTAAGAATCTCTATTTTTTTCTAACCATTTTCTTTTCTCTCTTGCATTTGTCTTCCAATTTTCTGCACTTTCAATTTCTTTCCTTTCTTTTCAGCACTGACCATTTCTCATTACTTCATTCTTGTGACACTCAGGCTATTTTAACTAAGATACTTTCGATAGAATACGAACGTAGGTGAATGCAGTCTACTTAACACATATCCAGTCATTTTGAATGGTCTGAATGTAACCTGGCAACGATCAAGAGGGAACCTTACTGCGTATATAGAAGTGGAGACACTCCCATGGGGTTACTCAGTCAGAAGTGACATTTTTTTTGCAATAAGGTTCACCCTGTACAAGATCTGAGTGCCACTCAAGGTAGAGGGTTAAGTTAGCGTATAGTTTATAAGGATTGGAAGGGAAGATAACGGTTAACCCTATACTTGAACAGATTTAGATTCTCTTGGGTGTCGGTTCAACAGAGCAGTGGTTTGCGGATTTAAAAAAATATTTTTAAATCTAAAATTAAGAACATTGCTCCGACGTGCTCACGCGTAGTCGCACCGACGTAAACATTAATTTATCCTGGAGGAAACGCGTTACACGAAAACTTTTTTTTTCCAATTGATCATACATCTTTCGTCTATAACAATTTATATATCATTATCCTATATATATATATATATATATATATATATATATATATATATATATATATACTAACCTTCATCACTGACGCTTTATCCCTGACGCTTTTGTTTGATTATTAGATTTGTGAACAATGCCATACTATTTGAAAGTGATTACGGCCATAGGAAATTTACTGAATATCTAAAACATTTAAACAATTTAACACTGAACAACAACCACACAAGAAGGTTATATCGATGGAATTCATTTATTAAGCACAATCAAACACTTGCGAAGGACATACCCTAAAAAAGATGAGGGAGAGAGTAGCTTAGTATATCAACGGATGATGCATGCAAGCGGGGACGCAAGCAGACATTTCTAGACAGAAGGGTGCGGGTTTACAGGGGGTGCGGTAATACAAGCGCAGCCATGTACAGCCGGCCAATGTCGGGCACCTCGACTAGTATATATATATATATATATATATATATATATATATATATATAAACTGAATGATAATATCAGCAGTTTATATCTAATGAATGATTGAACTTCTCTGCGCTTAAGGCGACATATTCAGATCAGTTCATGTCATCGGTGATAGCAATCAGTGGCCCATCCAAATGATGACTATTTTCGCGATATGAACGGACAATGGACAGTAATTGTTCCTTTGGCATCGTAGTATTTGTCGCAGATGATTGACCATCGAGTAGACCGTCAATGTGTGACCGCAACTCATTTCATGATCACGTGACATTCGCCTGATCAATTGATTTGAATCGGAATTAAATATCTACTCACGTTTCGTTTCATTTGTATTTCTCCTTCATTTCTTTTTTTTTCTTCTTTTTTTCCTTTTTCTTTCTCTCTTTTTTCTTTCTCCTCTCTTTCTCAATCTCTGGTTTCCTCCTCGTTTTTTTTCCTCTTTCTCTTTACTATTTATTCACTTTCGTTTTTTTTTTTTTACTTCTCTTTTACTTTCACTTGCCTCTCTTTTCCTCACACTCTTTTGCTTCATCTTTTACTCTTTCTATCTCACTTTCCACTCTTATTAATCACCCTTTCTTTTATTTTCTTCGGTTTTATTCCTCTTTCACTTGCCTCTAGTTTTATTACTCTTTTTCCTTCTCTCTTTCTCCTAATGATTTGATGCAAAAATAGTTCTTTTTTCCTAGTTTGTAATCATGCAGTAAAGTTATACGACATTGTTTCATTGTAATCATTTTCATTGGGCTTATGAGTAACAATATTTGGAAAGAAAACTTTTCTGGAAAGAAAAAAAAAGGTCAGAAATAAGTCAAGATTTTTATATACGAAGGAGGTTACTTCATTTACGACCGGATGAACCACCAACCAAAAAATGTGCCATTTTATAGCGATCATCATCACACACATACATACATATACCTACACAAATTCAAATTTCAATAACAATCATTCATTGGATAGAAGTCAACGCTAGTGTCTTATTTGACAATTTTGAAATCGCTATATTTTCGTATAGTAGATTTTGTGCACTTTTGGGAGAATCGGCTCCCAGAAATCTCCCCAAATCTCATTCACTGATTGGTCAGTGTCGACCAATTGGATTCTTTGCACGTGAAGAGTGATTCTTCCCGCGCAGCACTCCTGATCACCTATAAAAGCAAGAGAAATGCATAGACGTACCAGTGAGACTTTAGCTGCCACAGAAATCCACGACTGTTGAATCTATGCACCGATCTTCACACTCAACTCACAAACTGCATATTCCTTTACGCTTACATAAATTTTCATCTTGTGCAGCAAAACTGTTAAAAAACATTTATAACAAACAATTAACTCTATTCCTTTTCAGAGAACTTTGATAGTCAAATAGAGACAACTCTCGTCTTACTCATTGCATGTTTTTTCTTGCACATTCTTTATTGTATGCATTGTTGAATGCAATTTTTATATATAATGATACCTTTGCCCTGTCCTTTCTTCACATCAGATTGGTTTCCTAATCAAGATTAAATAAGTGTGACGGAAGTTCGCCACAATTTCATGTGTGACAAGCTACTAATTATATTCGCGGATATTTGTTTTCTTTTGAAAGTTTTTCTATCTCCACTGTAGGTTCAACTTGCAGAATTGCATCCACGAAGTGACAGGTTTCAAAATGATGGTATAGATTTTTAAATTATCGAGTACCTTATTAGTTCTCTTCCCTTGAACAACATTCAATTTATAATGATAACGTTTATTGATATAATCAACCAAAATCGCTTGCACAATTTCAATTATGTAATCACCCCTATCCTGTCCTACATAAGATTAGATTCTCTTTGTAATAGCTTGCTACTTTCATTTCGCCTGGCATCTCGGCTTCAGTCACTTCCACACCGCCATAACGTAGCCTTCCTCTGCTTTTTCTATAAACATTTTTATTGTAATTTTTCTGATGAGCTTTTTTCTCTGGTACGTAGACTTCATGAATTTAAGCGTGTTACTAGATTAGCAAAAAGTTCTCATCATCTTACACTTGAAATGGCTAGATGTAACCGCAAGTTTTATGCTAACAGATTCTTTTCTTGCATTTTTTGTTTGTGGAACTCTCTTTCTGCTACTTCATTCCTAGTCAACTTTAATCTTCAAAAATTTAAAAGTCATGCCAATCGTTATCTTCTGTATTCTTAATGTTAGTTCTTTCATTGTTCTTTTTTCTTAATGTTTTCTTTTTCTCATATTCTTTCATACTCCAACAGCCTCCTTGCATCTTGGTGGCATTGCTTGCTTCCCTTCAATGAGTCTATCGGAATCTTTTCCAATCAATCCGAGGGCTCCAACTAAAACTGGAATTGATGTCCTCATCTGCCACATTTTTTAGATTTCCACTTCAACATCCTTGTATTTTGATAGTTTTTTAAAGATCTTCAAACATACATTACAATCTGCAGCGGCTGCCATGTCAATAAGAAAACATATTCAGTTCTCGCGATCTTTGATCACGATGTCTGGGCAATTAGCTTTGATTGTTTTGTCTGTGTGATTTGTAAAGGCCTATAAAATTGTTACACGTCCTATTTCTGTAACTGTGTCTGTGTGATATTTGCATCAGTTTTTTTACAGTTTCATTCCCGTAAAAGTTGCATATTTTCCAGTTCAGATATTGGTCCACTCTATCATGCCGAGTTTTATATTCAGTGAATGCTAATACTGTACAACCTGATACAAGATGGTCAATTGTTTCTGGATATTTATCACGATCTGCATTTCGGCTAAACACAATTTTTCAGTATGTGTGCTTGGTAATTTCTTGTACAGCAAGAATAAAACCTTTGGTTTCCGCTTTAACGCTGCACTACATAACCATTGATGGGTACGGGCTTATTATTATTATTATTATTATTATTATTATTATTATTATTATCCAGGTAATAAAGGTGCGCTACACTGTGAAGTAAATCAATAAATTAACCAGTTATGTGCTAAGTCGTTTCCGGATAAAGGCGATCATGGTTCTCCATAACTTTCTGTTTTTTTATTATGCTAAGTAATTTTGTATCCTTGAGCCTTCTTTGTTTCTGTTCTGCTATACAGTCTCACAACTTAGTAAAGTCCTGAGATTTTATATTCTCTAGGCCCTCTTTCCTCATTATGTGACCCAAAGATTTCAACTGTCTCTTTCTGATTGTAAATATAAATGTTGTCGTCGTTCCTATTTTTAAAACTTTCTCGTTGCTCACATATTCTGTCCATAGTATCCTCAGCATCCATCGGTAGACCTGCATCCCTGTTGATTCAAGATCCTTCTTCATCTGTGAGGAAAATAGACAGCAATTGATAACTACTACTACTACTACTTTGTGACATTCGTCGGTCTCGAGTGACCCCATGGATCTGCGCACAAAAGGTTATGCCTCAACTGCTGATGACGACGCAGCAACTTTTATGGCTGTACAGGCCCACATGGGATGAACAGTCTTGATTGCAACGAATGCGTGTGAAGACGCTGTCCCTCGATGTCGTTGTGTTGTTCTCTTTCCTTCGAGCAGAGTTCTCCCCGGCGGCAAGCCTCGGTTTCTTCTCTTCTCGCTCCAGCCCTTAGTGTAAATCGCGTCTCCAACGTGACCTCTCGATGTCTATGTCCACCTCCCTCATGTAACTTTTTCAGACATCTTTGAAGCAAAAGATAAAGTCACCCTGCTGCCCTCTTATCGGTGGTCATTTCTCCACACACAAGAAGGACCTTCGGAATCCTCCCATCAGTAACAGTTGCTTCCCGTGTGTTGCGACGCTGGAGTGTCCACTGCAGGGCGCAGGCCAGGGCAGGGTTTGATGAGAGATCGACGGTTGCACACGCAACCGAGGTTGTTCAAGAGAAAGGCAGAGTCCTAATATAGGTTGGCACCAACCCACCTTCAAAGTTGCCAGAACAAAGTTCAATCTAACATTAAGCTGTCTTAGAGACTCCGGTTCCGGATTTGTCGCCCAGTGGTTACTCCCAAAGCCTTTCCCCTGGTTGAATCTGACGGCAAGGCAGCGGAAGTTTAAATTTAGAATTATCCTTTCTTACTACTACTGCTGCTGCTGTTGTTACTGCTACTACTATTAATGGATTTAGGAAAATCAAAGAGAGGATCTGTGCATCGTAAGATCAGGCTTTAAGAACAAATTCCAACATCTATTGATAGAGATGATTTACTCTAAAGCAAGCAATGTGGGAAAGCTACTGAAAGTGGGCAGCGTATTGTCATTGGCTATACTCAGCTGACAAAGGAAGAGTACAGACGACGCCATGAAAAAGTAACCCCTTGAAAGCAATAGCATCTATGCAGGAAGTGTGCCCTTTAGTACGTAGCGATGTGTCACTAGCCGAGGATGAGCAAGTGAAGCTCATGTGGGCTACGAACATCTTAACTTGGACAGTAATCACCCTGAGATCCAAGCACCCTTACGTTACGGACGTTACGGTATATTTGGGATAAAAAATTCGGGAAGGCGGAGTAAGCGAAAATACAAAGGTAACAAAACCTAGCAGGTCAATATTTTTGTAATCAATTCACCCCAAGCAAGGCGGTAATGCCACTAAGATGCTAAGGGCTACTGGGAGTAAAAGAGAGTGAGAAGAATTTAGAATGAAACGGGAAAACCAACCCTAAACAGGAAACAAAGGATAAACCTCTACTCCTGGTCAAAAGACAAAGGAGGAGTATGAACCGGACGAGAGGTGAACCTGGAAAATTTAGAAGAAGAAGAAGAAGAAGAAGAAGAAGAAGAAGAAGAAGAAGAAGATTACAAGAAAATACCTCTTAATTGATGTCGTTGTTCCTGGTATCAACGTTAAAGAAATTGAAAAGCTTAAAATTTATACCGACCTACGAATGTGGTTGCCATAATGTAGGACGTTCATGGCACACCATTGTTCCACTTATCTTGGGTTAGGGGTGGGGGTCTATACAACCAAAGCCCAACAATGAGAAAATGAGGATAAAACCTGGTATCGCGTCGCTTCAGAAGGCCGCGTTGCTTGACACTGCAAATATTCTGCTGAAGGTGCTACATACTACGTCTGTCGTATGACTTGATGGAGAACACCCTGAATGCAAGATCTCCGGTTGAAAGCGAAAAGCTTTGCGAAGGAAGAAATAATAATAATAATAATAATAATAATAATAAATTTTATTATTTTTTCTTCCTTGTTTGTAATCTAGGTTTTTCCCCATACTTTTTTACGGTTGACCGGTCACATATGGAACATTTGGAATTGAATGATATTGAACCTCATGTAATCCAATTACTATAGTGTAACCATGCAGCCATCATGCCGGACAATTATGGATGTCGTTTGTAGTGCCGCCAAATTTCCGCTACCTGATCAGGTTCCTGAGCACGTGATACACTTGCTTTTCTCTACAAGGTCGATATCAATCAACCCACACTTTCCTCCTATTATTGCTTAGACGCCTTATTTAATACACGGCACACACATGAGCAAATGCAAACCCAAAGAGAGAGTGAGAGAGAGGGGAGGGAGGGAGGGAGAAAGGGAGACAGAGAGTGACAGATAGAAGGAAAAAGATAGACTGAAAGAGGGTGAGGGGTAGATTTAGCTGCAGTGGTGCTATTTAGCGGGAAATACATTTCCCGAATAATTTGTGCAGCCAATAAAATTTTACCATATTTAAGAGACATATATGAAAAAAATAGCGTATTGAAATTAAATGTCCCGGTGCACACATTATTTATACTCTTATGACTTCGATCCTCATTGGGTACCCTATACTAGTGACCTTGTTCCAGACTACCAACTTAATAACTCGTTATCATTTTCTACTATTGTGTACCGCCTATTTCCCACGGACTGAACGTCGTAAGCCTACTGCTTGTCTATCACTACAAACATGTCAAATGTTTAGACCAGTTCCATTTTTTAGTGTCACAAGTTCAGACCTTTGCAGCCAAGACCGGCCTTGCTACGCCCACAGAGGGTTGAATCACCGTCATGCCCTATGCATTCCATGGGCAAGAAGGCGGTTTCACTCAGAACGCTTCTTCCCAATAACCGCTACTCTGAATAGACTCCCGCAAGGAGGGTCCTGGGTATGACGATAAACTACATCCGGCAGCAAGGCCTCTGATTGGGATATTGAAAGTTATGAGGAGCGTGGTACTCCCTCTTAATTGCTGTTGTTCTCAGGTCCACTTTGATCCGGGTGATAGCACCTGTTAAGGTCCCAGCTATGGGCAAATAGTTAAACGCCAAAGAAAAGCAAAATACTATGAAAGTATAAAAAATACCAGGAATACATATTTATATAAAAAGAATTACCAACGATACATATTTATAACAAAATGACCAACAATACATTTTATCTGTAGTTGAAGGCATACAATTGCATTTAAAATATATTTAGTTGAAGCCATAAAATTGTGTTCAAAATATTTAAATTTCGGCATTAAATAACCCATAGAGATGTTGATATGCGGCTAAACCAAATGAACGAACCCGCATAGATGTTTCCTTGACTACTGCAATCTTAACCTCTTAGGATCAATCGTTATCTATTCTCCATATGCTCATAATTTTCACTTTCTGTTTTCTTCTCTTGCTTTCATCTCACATACTTCATTTAAAACACCTCTACGTTGAGTAGCTCTTAGGCCTAGTACCTTTGTGAATGAATGGCGTCCATCTGGAAACGAGAAACTTTTGCAATGTTATGTTGTCGTCGTCGGGAGAAAGAAAGTGAGAATAATATTTATAAAAAATGAAACTTTTTTTAGAAAATATTCGAAATAAAATGGTTACCTGTAGTCCAAGAAGTCTTTCAGATGATAGAATGCAATTTATCATTAAACATGGAAAAATAGTTTCGAATTCAAAGAGGGAAAAGACGAAGACTACTTCTACTTTAAAACTCTTTTGCATGACATTTTCAGCATTGAGAAAAAACATATTTATACGGGAAGACATTTGAAACGATGTCTGTCTATCGGTCAGTCTTAACCGATCAAAATTTGCAGTCAATTTTGATAATACAAATTGTGATCCACAGACTAAGTTTTATCTTAAGAAAAAAATCATCATTCTTACTGAAGCAGTCTTTAACACATTTACTCGAGTTTCTGCTTCGTCTTAATGGAAAAATCCTTTCCAAAATATAGTGTTATCCTATTTTATAAATACAGGTTGCAACAGAAACCCCTGCCGTGATATAAATCCCAGATATGCCGCCCACTAAGACATTAATGGCAACGGTTTCATCATCAAGCTAATGGCTTACCATTATGTGGGAGGTATTTCTGGGAGGCAGACGTAGGAGGTATTTCTGGGGATGCAGATATGGGAGGTATTTCTGGGGAATCAGACGTGGGAGGTATTTCTGGGGAGGCATACTTGGGGGTATTTCTGGAGAGGCATACGTGGTAGGTATTTCTGGGGAGGCATACGTGGGAAGTATTTCTGGGGAGGCAGACGTGGGAGGTATTTCTGGGAAGGCATACGTGAGAGGTATTTCTGGGGAGGCGGAATAAAAAGGTAGAACTGGTATTTTTACTATAAAAATGTATTTCTTTACATTCCTAGTATATATATATATATATATATATATATATATATATATATATATATATATTAGTGGGGTTCACTATTTTCCTATATCTGGGACCTTAACAGGTGCTCCCACTACCGGTTAGGGTGGATTTGAGAAAAACAATAATTAAGAGGTTCCTCAAATTCTCCAATCACCCTATCAGAATGTTTGCTGCCGGGAGTAGTTTATCGTCATAACACCAAGACTAGAAAAATAAAGAATACAGCTCCGTGGAAATGGTAATATTAGCCGTTTCCTTATAAGGAAACATTCAGCATTCAATAACCGAGCAACCAGTGCTACCGTCAGTTGAAATTATAAAAAAATTATTTTAAAACAATTTTTTCAGAAAAGTCCACTAACTGTTATTTATCTTTCTAGTATTGATGGAGTTTTCCATCCTAACGTTTTGTTTGAAGTCGTACGAAACGACATCTTGATTAGATCGTTATTTTCTATTCGAGTTATATGTGTTATCCATCTGAGTTTCTACTGTGATGTGGTTTCTGTTATTTGGTTCATTTAATTTGGGATTTTTAGCGCCTATATGCAGCCCCCCTTGAAATCATAGACACTAATTTCCTAATTGTTCGAGGTTATTTTTTTTTAAATAAAAAGAGAAGATTTAGAATCAAAACTTACATCAATATTTTAATCCTACGTCATTTTAATTTTCGTTTTATTATTATTATTTCTTTCATTCAAATAAACTTAAATAAATTTTAAAAGTAAACATTTTTTCCTTCAAATAAAATGTTATTATATGCTTTTGTGCCAGGGGTGAAAAAAACAAAAAACAAAAAAAAAACATCATGAAATGAATGATTAGAGAAAAAAGATTTTAGGTCGTACAACTGAGCTGCGATGAAGCAGGTGCTCTTTTTTAATATCTTATTAAATTTGTGAATATTTTTCTATTTCTTTTTTATGTTTAATTAACAGCTATGTTAAAAGCTGATCAGATGAAATAAAATTCGCCCACAAAGGATAATAGAGATATTAGATTCTTTTGTGATTTATGCAAAGGGAAGTTAAAATAAACGTGTTCGTCTAATGAAAAGCTTCTTTTTACAGAAACCGAGGGAATAAAAACCTGATCACAGACTTTATACAGAAAGAGATGCACACTAAACCAATGAAGATCGATCCATTGTTTGATCGTCTGTGAAGAACAGAAACCTGAATCGTGTCCAAAATCGATAAAATCATTTTTTGCTTCTGTTTTTCATTTTATTTCAGATTTTTCTTTCTTTTTCATGACACGTCACTATTTCCTTTACTTTTCTTTCTAGATTTTTCCTTATATTGTCTTCAGTAATTGCTCTTTCTCTGTCTATTTACACACACACACACACACACACACACACACACACACACACATATATATATATATATATATATATATACATACATATATATATATATATATATATATATATATATATATATATATATATAAATGGTGTTACTCGCTTGGAAAAACCTTGGATAGTTTGACTTGTAGTAGAACAAATCGGTACCCAAGGAAAAATGAGGAATAAAAAAAGAAAGAATCAAGAACATTAAACTAATATGAAAACAATCCTCCAGAGTTCAAGCTCCAAAGAAAAAAACAAATTCCAAAACGAGTAAAAAGACAACTACGTAAAGTGCTCAATACACGAAATAGAGCTTAAACTAAGATAATCCTAAGGAGCCAGGCAAACATACCTAGGTTTCACCTAAACGGAAAGAACCAAGGTAGGTTTCTTGGGATTACTATTATATATATATATATATATATATATATATATATATATATATATATATATTATTGCAAGGATGAGTGACGAGAGAATACCTAAGGTTCTCATATATAGCCAGCTTCACAGTGGAGAAAGGAATATTGGATACCCGTGGTTCGGGATATAGACAAGATAAAGAGTAAGCTCTCAGGTCTTAACGTGCCTCATACTAACTTCAAGTGAATTACTCTGGATAGAAATAACTGTGACCGAATTGATTCAGAAATTTCGAAATCAGTCATATTGACTGGCTAAGAAATGAAAGACAACGGCAAAAAGTGTCAGCAAATATTCCTGTGGCTATGTCCCGTGATCCTCGCTGTTCCACAAGATGTGGACTTGTATGCGGCATAAAAACTATATGAAGTTGTCGGATTTTCATACATCGAAATCAATGGAAGAGTTCATCATATTTAGGCAGCATATCTCTATTTAATTATGTCTCATTAAATAATATAGAAATATTATGTTTATTTTTTTTCAATCCTTTCTAGTTCTCTAATCAGTTTCTTGATGTTAAGATGAAATTCATCAAGGAAGGTGCCGTAGTACGCCCCAGCCTTCTTCAGGTGATTGTAATTTCGAACCGAAACCTTTATTTCGTCCACCGAGGTACATTGTTCTAGTTCTACGTTCAATGCCTCTTCCGGATATCTCAGTTATTTCCCTTTAACTCAATTCGCCAAGTTTTGGTTCACCACTGCTGTATTGAACTCACAACTCTTTGGTCTAGTCACTGGATCTAATCAACGCCTTTATCCACTGTGTGTGAATTTCTGGGACTTACAGACCCAATGTCTCAGTAACCGTTTTTTACAAGTGTTCATATTGCAATTTTTCTGTTATTATTATTGTCTATTTTTTACCAGAACTTATATTGCAATTTTTTGTTGTTATTCATTGCTTTTCTCTAGCGTTCTTTATTAGTGGTTTCCATGTTGTATTCATTTCTATGCTTGGATGGCTTAGGAGATTTTTGTGGCTTAGCACATGTGCTGATTCCTTAAGTTTTCTTATTTTCCAGTGATGTTCTCTCTCTATTATTTCAATCCTATCCCACAGTGGACGGTGATCTCACTTTTCGCTCCGTATGTAGTCAGCTACGCCTGATTTTTTTTTCACCGGAGTGTACAACGGCCGAAACGTTGTGAATATAGCAATGAAGATTAGGATAACAGTCCGAATAATGTAAATAATATAAGTTATCCGTTGTAGTTATGGATTTTTTTTTAAAACAAGCGTCCCAATCTAAGGGAGTTGACTGGAAATTGGTCGAAATGCAAAATTGCATTAAATATTTTGTTTTATGCACTTCAATATGTTGCTGCTACACTCGAAATAAATTTTATTGAGTGTTGGTTGATTTTGATATAGAGAATTTGAAGCTTTTGTTTATTATTTTCGTGGTGTATTATGTTGGTGTTGTTAACTTGGGTAAGACGACTTAAATAAATACACGGCGCCTTCCTTGCTTTATTTCATCTTGGGATCAAGAAACTGACTAGGGAACTGGAAAGGATCAGTATCAAAATAATATGTCTATATTATTCAATGAAACACACACACACACACACACACACACACACACACATATTTATATGCAGAAATATAGTGTTAGAGTGTGCTATATTTATGGGTTAAAGTGCTCAATATCAGAGATAGAGCGTGTGTAAATGTAAATATAAAAGTGAACATTGAAGTCAACACTCAGAAGCGACAGGCTTTTTCATGTTAGACGCAATCTAATTAAAATGTTCACTTATATTTATACACACACACACACACACACACATATATATATATATATAAAGAAATATAGTTTTAAGTCATGCCTTATTTATGGGTTAAAGTGCTCAACATCAGGGATACAGGGTATGTAAATATAAAAGTCGACATTGAAGTCAACACCTAGAGGTGACAATCTATTATAACGGTTATTTTAGTGGGCGGTAACGGTTGTGTTTTAATGTATTCTAGGGACTATTGAGTGGGAATAATTGTGGATCCGAATGCAGTTTTTTATAGTGTTTTCAGCTATCTTTTTATTGATTAGTTTTATTATATTTCTCGTTTGCATTTTCCTTGGTTAAAGTTTGATTCTTTTTTCATTGTCTATTTCCATTTCAAATCAGTGTGATTACTCATCTTAAGCAAGTTTGTAAATAACTCACATCCGTCTTTTTCATCCACCTCCTGTCTTGTGCAAACTTACAAAAGGGTTATCCAAACTTTCCAAAGATTTTACAGACAATAATGGAATTTTATTAATAGTTCTTTTAATTCTGTTGTTTAATGTATTATTCAATGTCTTCAGCGAAAGTGTGCTGAATTGACTTTATTGAAATACATGTGCAAATGCCTTTATTATAAGGAATTTTCACATTTACTCGTAGCACATCTAGTCCGAATAGTTTCTAGCGTAACCGGAGGATGAAAGGAGAGATCAGGTGTGTTCTACAATTTTGTACAAGTTGGAATTGGAGAAGACATGGCGGTGTCGTTTCTCGATTAGATGTTTTAGCTGTTTTCGTTGAAATGAATAAAGTTGTTTTTTCTCTTTCTTTATCAGCCCCCACGTAGCCCAATTTTATGTCAAAATTGGTTTCACTATCGCTTTGTGGGTTTCAATCGACGTTTTTCACTAATACTATCTTGTCTGATCCATATCTTCTTCAGTTTATCCATGCTGCCAATTGCCAAATTTGTTTACGTCTGATGGTATCATTCGCATCTCATAATTTCTCAACATTTCTCCACCCTTCCGTGTTTCTGTTTTCCGCCTCCAAGAGTGCAGGGTCCGTTTTCTTCTTGGTTTACCTTCAGGTTTTTTTTAGTTATGAATACACAGTCTCGGGTGCGTTGCAAACTACCTGCTTCCACCTCTGCATATATAGTGTGAAATGGATACATTGTCGTCTAAATGACTCAAAAATGAAAATAACACTGATATCTCATTTCAACAGATATATTTACCAAAATTACAGAAAAATATTTTGAAATACTAAAAAGTAAATGTATTTAATAAAATCGACATTGGCTTCAACCACAGTATCCAGATGACTTCAAGTCTCCTGCATCTCTTCTGGATGGTCTTCTTGTTGGTGAATGCTACCATAATCCTTGTCTTCAGTACATCTTTGGTGTTACAAGGAGTTTTGTTGGTCTATCGCTCAACTGCGCCCCACACATAATAATCAAGTGGGTTGCAGTTTGGGGAGTTAGGTAGCCAAATTTAAGGGGTGATGTGATCACAGAAATTTTCTGACAGCCATGACTGGGTTCTCTTACTTGTGTGTCATGGTGCTGTATCCTGTTGCCAGATATAGGGTCTTCCAACAGCCACCCTTTTGACACAGGGCAGCACTACCTTCTCAAGGCACTTGATGTAGGACTCCGTGTTGAGTCTGAGGCCCTTACCAATAAATTCGGGAGTTCTTTTCTTATCAGTACGATCAGAGTGTGTTTTCCGACCTGCCATGCCATCGTAATCACCATTAGACTCATTTAGATCTTTCTGAATCCTCTGAACTGTTCTCAAATTGACACCCAGACATTCTGAAATGTTCGTATTGGAGCTTCTGGTGCGAATGCCAAGCAGTACAGCATGCCGTTTCTAAATTTCCGTCGAGAGTGAATTGCATCATGGTGTGCTCTTTTTTCTCACACATGGTGCACAACTAATCTTACTGTGCAGTAAACAAAATCAAAAACAAAAAACGCGCATGCGCGAAATTAAAAATATTAAGTGAATATAGCGAACACAATTGGAATTGACACACGGCTCTCTAATTTCCAATGCCTCAACATTTTCCATTACACACCACGTGGCATTCCCAAACGGTCAACCATCTAGGTACTGACCGGGTTCGACGTTGCTTAACTTCGGTAATCGTAAGAGAACTGGTGTTTCAACGTTATAAGACAAGAATGCGTTATCTCACTGAATGTATTAAACGAATTGATCCTAAGAGAACTAGGAGTCCTGTCGGGATTTATAATTGATGGATACAATCTTAAAAGCATAGAATACGCAGATGACACTTAATTGATTTCCGATTCTGAAAGGAAACTGAAAATATACTTAGACAATGTAGTAATCGAAAGCAAAAAGAAAGGACTATTGTAAAAAAAAAAAAAAAAAAAAATCGGAGACCTACACATTAGGAAGAACTTGATAATTGAGAAAACCTTTCCAGGGTTTCTATAGTTGGAGGACTTGTGCAACAAACCTCTGGCTTTTGAAATATTTAATGCGATCGTCCTTGAAATGCATTTATTGCCTAGCGCCTCACTGATTCTGTAGGTTATTCCTGGGTATGACGATAAACTTCATCCGGCAGCAAGACCTCTTATTGGGAGATTGGAGGTTTTAAGGAGCGGGAAACTACCGCTTAACTGCTGTTGTTAACTAGGTCCACCCTGACCCGGGGTGGTAACACCTCTTAGGGTCGCAGCTATGGGCAAAGAGTGAATACTATGAAAGTATAAAAATACATTTTTATAGTTACAATAACAGCAATAGATTTAATGGTAAAAAAATTTACTAAAGCTCGCAAGAAAGTTAAATTTCGTCATTAAATGACCCATAATGAATTGATATGCCGTTAAACAAACAAAACTAACGAAAAGCAACTTCATCCTTACGTAGAAATCTTTCGAGGATTTTCATGATTTTTTCACGAATGACAAGATTTGAAGGCTGGTAACATATGAATTCCTGTTAGAAATACGTAGATGTACTTTCGCATCGAGCAGTCTATGAGTCCAGACAATATTTGCTTGCACTTCGGTATGTACTCTTTAACTGAGATAAATTTCTTTCGTAGATGCAAGTTTAATTCCATCGAAGGGTAATATTGGATAATATTTTTTAATAATTAACAATAGATTAACAGGCCTTAAGTTTTTCTTTGGGAATTTTGATTTTCTTGTTTTCCGAAATGTCACTAGTGTTCCTATGCCATGGTCTACATAAGGGTTTTCCAACCTGGGCGATATCACCCACCAGAGGACGATTCCAACAGTTGGGTGGGATTTGAGCAAATGAACAGAAAATGGTTTGTGAAAGGAGATTTTTGCGGGCAATATAGGAATTTGATTATTAAAAACGTATTTGAAAATATGCTACCCCCAAAATATATGCAAAGGAGATATGCAAAAAACATTTATAAAAAACTAAAAATAAACAGGAAGCCAAATAAGAATAACTGGATCGCATTCCTAAATAAGATATAAATATATTGGCAAACAACGAATATTTTGGCATTCTTTATAATTTAACATTCAAATAGTTCTTCAGACAAAATAACATATTTTTCGGATATGCTATAAATCAAATAAGTGAACCAAAAAGTGTTCACTGAATTTTTATTCTCCGGGAACCAAGCATGTTTTATTATTCATTTCCATTCAGTTATTCCGTCCTGTCAGCGAACTGCTGTGGCGTTGTTATATCAACGACTAGCAGTAGAGCCCGGCGTTGCCCGGGGATGTAACAGTAAGAGATAGATCAAGTATCGACCATCATAAAGACTGAAAAATAAAATTGACAAAGATTATTGTTTAAGGTTGACGGACACGCATGTCTTAATTAGTTTTTTTTTTTTTTTTTTTACGAATTGGTCAAACATAAAAAATTCAAACAAAAACATTGTTTACAATCGTTATGAGTCTATCGATTGGTGAATAGAATTTTATTATAAACAATTGTCTTGTAAATGGAATTTTTAAAGCATTCTGAATGTAAATAAAGAAAAAAGTGTGCAAGACAATAAGAAATACTACCTGCCGAAAAAAAAAGTGGATGTTTGTTTTATCGGCTGAAAAATGTAAGAAATCCGATCCCATATATAAAGGAACACACACACACACACACACACACACACACACACACACACACACACACACACACACACACATAAACAACCTGGGTTTTTTAACCTAAGTCACTCCACGGAATCGCTAAAACATAGAACATAGTCTGATGAAAAAGACGCCAAAGTTTATGAAAAGAAAATTTTATCGTCAAAATGCTTATTTTTTATGAAGAGGATAGACTAAATTTTTTTTTAATTATTTTTAAAAAAGTTTTCCATCTTTTTAGAATATTCTAAATTTTGATTTAAAAAACCTTGTTTCTCTTTGTCGCAACAAGGGGTAGTAAATAACATAGATAATTTTTTAGCGCATTTTTTGTATTTACACACATTAATTTGGAAAATCTTGCAAAAATAAAAATAATTGTCAGATGTTAATGAAACTTTCAGAAACTATTCACAGATGATCGAAATTATTATAAATATTTTTTTTTTTTATTAAAGTCATGGCAGAAATATTTTTTCTTATATTTATTAACACCCCCATAACTAATTTTATGAAAAACTCTAGAAATTCGAGACCATCCGTTTTAGTGATTACAATAGTTAAAAGCACAAGGCTTTGAAGAATGCAAATCATGTTTTTTTTGTTTTTTTTTTCTGGCCAACGTATCAGCTGTGAATTGTAACATACAAAACTCAATAAAACAAATATATTATTTAGTTTCAAATGCTTTTATTTGTTTTAATTTGTTTTTATTATAAAAAGATTTTAAAAAAATGTTTAAATTGAATTTAAAAAAAATATTTTAACATTAGTTAAAAGCAACATCAACCTTTCAAAATGTCCGTGTGAGATTGTCATTGTCTAGCGCTTTGAAAATTGTATAATTTGGACCAATCAGATTAGCCATGGTAATTAAGAAATGTAATTTTTGTGTTTATAGTCGGACAGTAATTATCAAGTACGGAAGACCAACCAGAATACAATTTAGTTGCATTATTTGAGTTCAGCATTGTTTTCCGCTGTTAAGCCCTTTACTTTTGCGAAACACGTATGGAGAAGTTAATTTGAGTTTTCAATTTCAACTGAGAAGGGTACCTACAAGTAACAGTATCATCTTATGAAATTTAACTACTGCTAAACTTTAATTTATATGATCTTATTTTTATATTAATCTCAGTTATGACATTTTTCCATAAATGAAATATCAAAATTAATAATAAAATGAATGGAAATACAAATAACACAGTAAAATATAATAAATGTACATAAAATTATAGTATTTTATGTACACTTCTGATAAAATTTCATAAGAAAGGTACCTAAATTAATTAGATACCTTTTTCTTATGAAATTTAATCTCACTATTAACAGTCTTATTTTTTAATTTCTTTATATTTTCCATAAAGCATCGTAAACGTAAAAATGAAAACTAAGTACAAAAAAAAAAAAATAAATAAAAAAAAAAAAAAATAAAAATTAGAGCGCTGAAAGTTTTCCTTAAAAAGTAACAAGGTAAATAATTTGTTCACTTAAATAATTTCACTTCCTTCCATCCGTAGAAAGAATTCTCCTCCCGTAAGTTATCTAAACGTCATGAATGCGCCTTTCGTCAATCGTCAAGCGACGCGAAAGGTTATGACCTGCTTTGTTTTATTTTCAAATTACATTTTTTTCGGCGCAGAAGCTAAGTTAAGCTTGGTTCAAAATATTTGAAATAAACAGTATAATATCTGTTTTTATTAAAATCAGTTTTGAAAAAATGATAATTGACTTTTAAAAGAATATCAAAGTAAGATTTTAATCTTTTTTATCAAATTGAAAAAATGATTGAAAATGATTATCTGCCCTTTTTTGACAAAAAAAAAAAACAATATTTTAACGAAAATTTCAGACGTGCTAGGAACGATTAAAAAATGTAAAAAACCCCCAAAATACTTTGATCTTTCCTCTTTAATAATAATATGAACATTAGACGATAAAATTTTGTTTTCGTCAAGTTCGGCTTTTTTTTTTCATCATGATATGCTCATTTGTTTACATTTTCGTGGGTGAGTTCTCCCCTTTCATTCTCACGATGTGTCTTAATCGTGTTTTCAAACTGATTTTATTAAAAACAACTGTATTTTTTCCCATTTTCGGCCCCGTTAGAACCACCACAAGGTAATTTTATGTAGTCCTGTGAAGTTTTGTTGAAATCGGTTAAAAAATGTAGGAAATTCGATCCAACATATAAACGTTACAGACACACACACACACACACACACACACACACACACACACACACACACACACAACCTGCGTTTTATCATAAGTAAGATATGACAATGCTCATAACGAAAGGGAAGTTATTGGGGAAATAAATATATCTTTCCCTCGTTCTCGTTACACTAATGTATTAAATTTCACAAGTTTCTTTGGTTGAACAATTAAACTAGAATTAAACTAAACTACTTTGACATTCTCATTATAAAAATGGTTTTAAAATGATTTCTTACAGTCTTATATATTTTCTTAGAGTGTTGATATTTATATATATATTTAATCGAGTTCACCCTAAGCAAGTTAGTAAAGCCAGTAATGTACAAAGGGTTACTGGGTGTGGAAGAATTAGAAAACAGAAACATTAGTAAGGATCGAGAACAAAAGAAGAATAAAGAGAAGGACAGCAGATAGCGATTGATATTTCATTTACATTTTTGAATATTAACGTTGACTAGAAAGCATGGAGTCGGAAGAGAGTTCCATAAGCGTCAAATGTGAGAAAAGAAACCATTAGCCTAGAATTTTTATGTTTCTATCTAAGCAACTCAAGTGTAAATTGGTGTCACCTGTCTATTACTGCGTTTAAATTCATAAAGTCCAGGTACCATAGCGAAGAATTCATCCGAACTGTTGCCATGAAAGTATTTATAGAAAAGGCAAAGGGAAACAATTTTGTGAAATGACTGAAACCGAGATGCCATATCAGGACCAAGAATATTTATGATTCTTTTCCATCTTTATTTGTCTATATTTCTGAGGTATTGTAATTATTTACACTATTTACATTGTTCAGACTATTGTCCTCATCTTTATTGTCATATTCACGACG